TGAATAAATTGTAAAACTGACTTACAAACATTTTATTTAAAATGTCAAAGCCCATACCTTTTTTATTTACGTTACCCTGAGTTTTGTAAGACATCGTTCTTAGTATCACAGAAGAGATGTTTAATAATTGCTTACTGGACAAATAACTGAATTAATTAACAAATAAAAAGTAAGTGAGGCATGCAAAGTAGAGCATCCCACAAAACGAACCCCAAGTGATCTGAAAAAGTAAAGATGGTTTCTTGCTATGTTTCAGTGCCACAGGAAAAGCAAAAACAAAAGTTAAATGACATAGAGATAAAAAGAGAATCCCATGTTTAAATCTAGTAGTTTTCCAAATAAAGCAGAAATTATCAACAGTGAAAAAATCCTAGAACTGCAAGAGACCTTGAGGGGTCCTTCAAATAGGGCTACTACACAAGAGACTTGATCTTTTAGGATAATGGATGGAGAGAAGTTAAAAAAAACTCCCATTCTAAAAATACTCCTTAAGCTAACAAAAAGAACTGACAAAACCTCCAGTGTTTCACACCTAAGTAATCACAGTATTAAGCTTTAACAATACTATGATTACTTGGGAGGTTCCCAAATTTCTTGAGTAGCTTGTTCCAGGATTTAAATATGCTTTCTGACCCGAGGTTCTTCATTATATCTAACAAACATTTACACAATATAAACCCATATTCTCCACTTCTGTCTCCTGGATAAATGGAAAATGCCAATCAGCCTCCAGAAGACAACTTGCCTGTCTACAGAGAGCTGAGCCTTCTTTCCCTTCCCAACAACCCTCCATGGTAGATAACAATCGAATACATTATTCAATCATTTCCCTGCTGTGGTCTCGATCTCATCTACAGCCTCCAGTTCTCTGGGATACAAATGAATGACTTCTGGGGTAAATCTCTTCCGCAAATACCAAAAAGAATAGTTCTTGTGGAAGCGATAGGTTAGCAGTTGTTAAAATTTGGTATTTAGTATTTATCATTGCCCAGGTTATTTACTTCGTATTACACTTAAAAGTGACTGATTCTGCCTATAACTATCTGTTCAGCAGAGCCTACCACTGCATTTGCGTTGCATCTGTGGCCAACTAACTGCATCTACAGGTCATTCCCACAGGAGATTTTCCCTCTTTTTCTAAGCAAGAAGCTGCCCAATTTCTCTGACCTACCTCAACTCTCACATTACAGAACTGCTTAAGTTTTCCATAGAGATAGCCAGATAATATTCTTCTCATGTCAACTATTATTTAAAAAACATTTCATTACATTTAATATATTTTTAACTTGTCTCTGAATTCTCTAAATATTTTTACATCTTTCCTACCTCATGAAAAACAATGGCAGCCCATGAATAGAATCCTTTGAAGCTTATATGGAATGGTCACATATAAAAGAGAGTATTTTTGTAGTGGGGCATCTGTATCAGTGCTATTACTATGAAATCATTTTAGCAGTAAGTACTGGTGCTTATTTGATGTGGTTTAATCATGTAACTTCTCTTTCTCTTTATTTATTAAAGGGTCTTATAATCATGAATGCCTTATGGGGAGGAAAGGAGAATATCTATTTTAATCACAATATTGCTAAAAGTAGATTTCTCCTTGTTTCATTTTCCATCTGCATACATCACTAATCAAAGGGAAACCCAAGAAAGGAGGACTTGGGACGATGAACCTGCGGACGAATATGCCTAATTTGCTGAACACATGATTCATAATGAGAGGAAAATATGAATACTCTAACAAAAATATCAGAATGGAATCCTTTCAGGTAGATAGGGCGTTCAGTGAACACTTCAAATTCATAACCTGTTTTACTCTCAAAATGCCTATGGTTTTATGAAAGCATGGACCGAGTTTATGAAGACAGTAAGATGACTAATGAAGAATCTCCTTTGCTTTCTAGTGGGAACTTTTGTTTGCTTCTGTTTACTTTCTCCTCCATTTCTCTTTCAATTAACCTCCCTGTTTGGTATTCAATGAGATGGCACATAATATGGAGAAAGAAAACAATCTTGCTGATTTATGAGCATTCTTTCATCAAGTGGCAGCTTCTTTCAGCCAGATGCATAAGAGTTGAAATGGAGAGGAAATGCAACAACAGTAACCATCCCAAGTGAGAACACACACCAGAGTTTCCTGGGTGTTTAATCCGTGGCTCACGAATGGTCCCTTAGGGCCACTTAGGGCCCTAACCCCCTAACCAGGAAACTATGGTGGGCATATACACAGGTAGTAAGGAAACATGGGAAAGGCAATTGGGTCTTTGTATGCCCACATTGGAAATAACTCATCTTATTAGTATAAAAGAGCAGAAAATGCTTTAAAGGCACTCTGCATCTTTTAAAAGGTTCACATCTAGGATTTATTTTTAAATGAAGCAGGTCCCTTATTTCCCACACTGCTACTCATATGGAGTATAAAGCAACAGAATAAATGAAAATAATAGAAAATGGAATTGTTAAGAACTATTGCAGGGTTTATTAAATTGTAATACAAAGACCCACTGCTAACAAAAATCCTGTTTGTTCCTAAATAACTAGGAATTTGTTCAAGAACAGCTCATCTACGGGAAACTATTATCCGTGTAATAATACCAAGGCCACTGAGAACAACACTAAAATGATCTGGTGAATAACTATTGGTTGGTAAGTTAAATCTGCCAATGGATAACTTTTTGGTACACTTCCTGGTTTTCAAAGCTATACACACGTGTTTGCTGTACTTCCTAAGATACATACAGTCAGATCATAACTTTCCTCCCTCAGCTAGACTCAATTTGCTTCTTCTGATTGGGTATCGGGTGGTGGGGTCACAAAGAATGAGGGGATATGATCAGAGGTATAGTTTTCCCGCCCTGCCTCTGGTATATAGGCATTCTGGCACCTGGGACATGGAGCTGTTTGGTTATAGAGGTATTGCATTGTCCCTTGTATGGCCATAAAAGGATACACAAATCCTGCTCATCAATTTTTTTCTGCCTTAATGTAGTTCACATGAACAATCTCTGCCACTGCCCCAGAAGGCCTCTCTTTGGGAGAGGAAGGCCACATCAGTGGGTACGAGCCCTGTGCAAGCGCTATGACTGTGGGCACCTGTTGTTGATTTCAGCAGAAACTATACATGTTTCCCCAGCTGCAGGCAGGAAGCTCCAATTCAACCAGCGAAGCTCCAAGGATGCTGTGCAATTAAGAGCTAACAGCGGGTCTGATTCGCAGGATTTTGGCGGGCTGTCCCTTGGCTGGCATCTGGAAATGTGGATGTCCCCTACACTGATAGGGTTATTTTGTCCACACCCACTCTTCTTAGGAGAGTTGGGATTTTGGTGGTTGTGGCAGACAGAGGATACCTCCTAGAACAGCCCCAATAAAAACCTTAGACTCTGAGTCAGGGAAGTCCAATCTTTAGGCTTCCCCGGGCCACCATGGGAGAATAAAAATCGTCTTGGACCACACATAACATACATTAACACTAACAATAGCTGATGAGCTAAAAGATTGCAAAAAAAATCTCTGTTTTAGGAAGGTTTATGAATTTGTGTTGGGCCTCATTCAAAGCTGTCCTGGGCTGCATATGGCCCACAGGCCACAGGCTGGACAAGTTTGCTCTAAGCCTCGAACAGGCTTCCTTGGGCAGAAATACTGCACACGTGTCGATTCATTTCGCTGCTGGGAAAAGGAGCATGCTACATGTGACCTCTCCCAGTGGGAGAGAAGGAAGGTGGGAAGGCTGTGCATGGATTTCTGCAGACTCTGCGGGATATGTCTTTTTTTCTTGCTGGTTGTGACACATTACAGCCATGATACAACTACCTCTGGGTCCTGAGTTCTTCTTGAAGATCACCAGCGTGGGGGTGCGGTGAGACCCTTGAAACAGATGTCAAGGATGGCATTAAGACTAGGAAAAACCTTCCATGAAGTTTATAATGACACACTTGTGACAATTTATAAGACGTATGTGATTTCAATTTTCCCATGACAAAGTTTCTGGCTACCCAAAAAAGCAAAAAAGCGAAGTACATAATACTTACAGATACATCAGAAGAAGAAATCTTTAAAAGATACTGACACTCCCCACAACAGATTTATCAACTTTCACCCTAGGAATGTAAAACAATGTGGAGAAATACTATACCACCAATTCTGAAATTTTGGTAGGACTGTGCCATTTATAACTAATATTGTGTACTTTCACTGAAGTGATGTAGAAATTTATTACATACTTTTGTTGTAGTTTTAAAATTAGACATTTTAATTTTAGTGACAAATGGTAAAAGCAATGACACTGAGTATCTTGAAAATATGATATATATATTTTGCATACTTTTGTATCTACGCTAAATATTGTTTATGTACTAGCGTTTTTATCTGAAACATCTATCTGATGGTTTTATTTAACCTATAGATGTTCACAAATGTCATCATATATGAAAAAGTGTTAACCATATAGGTCTGTTTAAAAGCAGCGAGATTTGTGCATTTTATTCTACTTTATTTCTCATGATACCACAAAATAAAGTCATAAAAAGTCAAACGTCTTTTGTAGAGACTCAAGATACGGGCAAGTCTAAGCTGTGTGATTCTGGAAACCACAGCAGCCAACAAGGCCATATATTTGAAAAACATTTAAAGCATTTCTTTCTAAAGTGGAAAATCTGCTATTAAGAAATGCAATGACAATATGGAACATCAAGAAGTAATATTTGATAAAACTTCACTTATAAACAAATCATTAAGTCTGTTTTATGTGAGTCCACTTACGTGGCCATCCCCAAAACCAAGGGATAAAAGTTTAAACCTCATACTTGTGACAGCTGTTCTAAAAAGAACTGAATTGCCATCATAAAATGACAACCATATTTAAAAAATAACTTCGTGTTAAGAAAGACAAATAAAAAATAATGCAAAGAACAGGCTTTTTCCAAGTTGAAAACAGCTGACCATGGGGGCTCTTCTCTGGGAGGAGGGGACAGATAGACACAGACGTGCAGTGAGCCTACCAATAGTGCAGTGCTCTCCATTCCAGCCCTGGCTGCATTCGCACTTGCCATCCTTGCAGGTTCCATGCTCGGCACAGCGGGGATGGCAGGCTCTCTGATTACACGCTGGGCCCGTCCAGCCTTCTTCACAGCGACACGTCCCCCCCATGCAAACGCCGTGTGAGCCACAGTCCACAGAACATATTTCTGTGTGGGAGTTAGAGGAAGCAAAACAGGAGAGAAGGGTAGCGGGAGGGAGAAGGGGAATTAATAAGCAGCGCTGCATCTTCCACTCACATTTGTTCAAGGGAAACACAAAATCATCAAAAAGAAAACAGAAGTATTTGTATGCTAAGTAAATTTCAGCACCGACTACTAGGAAATTATCAATGGTGGAACTCTACATCTTTATTCATCGTTTAATTTTACATGCTGCTCTAATCATGCATAAAATACACATGACAATTGCTAGAAATAATTTCTTTATATATATAATACTTTAGATAGAAAACATTACATATATAGAGAGTAGTCATGTTTATATACATCTATCACCAAGAAAACAGGTCCCCATATCCCCACCCCCAAATTAATGAAATATTTCAGCATCTCAGGTATCTAACAGGCTTGGGTTTCATACATATGGCAAGAATTTGAAAAGGGGTTATTTCTAATGCCACATTTAAATGTTTTAAATATTCAGAAACTTTCACTAAGAGGAATCTACTTTGGTAAGCAAATTAGCTTGCCTCTGACACAGACATGCATGTAAAAGGAAACTGTTTTTCCTATTCAGTAAATTTGTACTGTTGACAGATACAAATTTCTTAGTCCACAGTACAAAACCAGTTTAATAATACATATAATTGACTCTCCTTTGAAAAACAAAGTTTTTCAATTCCTAGAATTACTGAAAAGAGCACAAGTTACCAAATGACTTCAAATGTTATACCAGGTTAGCTCTTTAAAAAGAATTCAGATGTGTAAGAAAAATTTTTTAAGCTTTCTTAAAAGCTTTCTTTAACTAGTTCCAATTGAGAGACAGGGAGAGGGAAAGGTAAAAGAAACTTTGAAGGTTATTTCATTTTACTCTTTACATATAAGGTTAAAGTTAGCTATAGTTTTTTGGGGTAATACCCCTGAAATTCTAAGACTGTTGATTAGTTTTCGTTTTCTTGCAAAAATAAAGCACTGAACAATAAAAACCTAAAATCATTTCTAACAAACAGAAAATGTACTAAACCTTTATTTGATTAAAAAATAGTAGCTGTTTATGCAGTCACATGTTCTGTTTTTCCTATTCATTCCCCAAATAACATTTCTCAGACACGTGATTCTCTATCTTACAGGCTAACTTTAAACACCTTATCAAGGCACTATGAGAGTTGTAATATTTTTTATAAACAACACCCAGGACTATTAACTGGAAGAGGGTAGCACACAGGTTTTTTCAGGCAACATTTTCTATCTCCTTTGAATTAAATTTTTGATTAAGAGATCCAAGATAGTTTGATTAACTTCAGAGCAACATAATATCAACCCAGCTCTAGAAGCGAGAGGTTTCTTTCTGAGGTACCCTTTTTATTCAATCTAATCAATTTTTCATTAGGGTGATGGTGTTTATCAGCATTTAGCACACCAGCTTTGAGCAAGGTGCGTCAATCTTTGTAATGAACTTATTAATTAGAGTTAATTTAATTGAAGTGGAATTGAAGGGCTAATTAATGAACAAACTGCTGATGAAGATAGAGGAAAGCCCTGTTGCTTTCAAACCTATAAACTTTCAGATGGAAATAATTCATTTATTCTCTTCTAGCAGCTTAACCAAATGTTTCTTCCGGTGTAAAGTCTACTCTCTTATTGAATTTAGATATGTGAAGGTCATTTCCACAACAACAGAAGAGGTAGTGAGTAAAGTGTTTTCCTCTAGCATTCACTTAGAAATTCAGAATTATACTGCTTGTAAACTTTAAGCCACAAATGTAAAATAATAGTGCTTTTATAAGCTTTAAATGAGAACTGTGCAATAATCAGATAAATTTGAGGCACACAAGACCAGATATTTTCACAGCATGATTGGAAGCATATTTGAGATCTTTACTATTAATTCTAAGTGGGTTTTCTGTCTTTCTGCAGCTAATAGCAAAGTTTCATAAAGATTTTTTTCTATACTTATTATAATTACTTTCTTCAAAAATGGAGTATTGTGTTCATTATGCTACTCTATTTATCGAGAGTTGAATAGATGTGAAATTTCTTTTTTGCATTGAGGATATCAAGATGAATAGGATAAAGATCTCTGTTCTCTATGACTAAACAGTCATTTAGTACACAGGTAAAATTAGATTTTCAACTACCAAAATAATTACAGCAGCATGAAAAAAATTCAGTCTAAATACGTAAAATAATGATATGTGATTTTTGGCAGCCAATTTAATCTTTTAATTAACATTTATATGTATATTTTCCAATTCATAGCAGTATCATTTTATGAAGAGGGCTGAATTAACTTTTAAGTTATTTAGTATCAGTTACAAACTACCCTTTATAAAATAATTCAGGTAATACACTATAATAACTTTATATGAAAAAAGGGGCTATTGTGCTTGTTCCTTTCCGACTCGGATAATTGTAGGAAGCAAATCTGAATGACAGTATTTCAAGCAAGTATTATTCTACAGCTAGTCTTAATATGCCGTTTTACTGATGGAGGCATAAGAGACCTGAACCAAGTAGCTTCACTATAGAAGTAATTATCTCTATAACATTTAATTGGATATATTTTGTGGAAAGGGTTTTTTAGTATAGGTAAAAACTCAACAGAAAACACTAAATGCTTATTTTATATGTAAATTATATGTAATTACAAAATATATTTTACGAATAGAGGACAAAACAAGTTAACGTGTTATTTAAAATAATACCACTCACTCATGCTGGATAAGTGTTGGTTGGTGGTAATATCCCTAAAACTCTTTAATAAGACATTTCAGGCTCTCTCTAATCCAGATCCCAATTTGTGTTTTTACTCTTATTTATTCTATACATGTTATTTGCTCTAGCAGATGTGAATTTTCTCACCAAAGTTTCTGGTTCCTCAAGCAAGCCAGAGGTGTATGGGCCAAAAGATGAGGGAGAGTGAATTAAACAGGAAGGAGGGGAAGAAGAGAAGGAGGGAGGGAGGGAGGGAGGGAGGGAGGAAGGAAGGAAGGAAGGAAGGAAGGAAGGAAGGAAGGAAGGAGAGATAAGAGAGGGAGGGAAGGAGGAAGAAAACTCATCTCATACAAAAATCAGAATGGGAAGGAGAAAGGATGAAAACTTGTCTCTCAGTAGTATATGAGTTCAACAGAAAATTTTCATGAATATCATCAATTAGCTGATAGGAAACATTTGTTAGTCTGGGCTTCCAGGATTCAATTTGTAGGAGGTAAAGAGTAGCAGAGAAATCTGTCATGCTGATACTGACTCAGAGGGCAGCAGAGATGTCACCCAAGGTTCTTGAAAGGCCAGGAAACAGCAATTTGTAAAAATTACTAGTCTTTTTACTTCTTGCTAAAAATAAACATGTGAATTAGCTTCTCAGCACAATATTTCATGTCATTTTATGCCATTTGATTGTACTAATAGAGGAAACAATTTGCATTTAATAAATTTCACATTTGGGGAACCATGTCCAATCACTAATGTGGAAGCTCCTCTGAATTGATGAGAAATTAAGTATGACAAACTACAATTAGCCTTTAGAATACTTCTACCATAGTGACTACTATCACCACCCTCTACTACGTCTATTAGTGGTTAACACTTACTGAGCACGTACCGTGTAAGGTGCTATTCTAAGTGCTTTTCACATACTAACTCATTTCAGCCTTACCTCAACTGTATAAAGTAGTCCTGTAATTATCTCCATTTTACATACAAAGAAACAGAGGCACAGAGATATTAAATAACTTGCCCAACGTCATATTGCTAGTAAATGGCCATCCGAAATTTGAACCCAGGCAGCTCAGCGTCTGTGTTCTGGTTCTCAGTCACTTACTGTTAAACAGGCTTAGAGAAGGGGGCAGGAGAGTAGATAGACCCCTTCACTGAAGCCAAGACTTATATTTAATCTAAGTGGGATGTTTTTATTCACTCTACACTGCTAGTAAAATTCATTTTCTTTCTCATTTCTTCTCCTTGTCCTTCCTTCTCTACAATCATCCTCTTCCTCCTCCACTTCTCTTCCCTGTTTCTCTTTCTCATTTTCCCTCTTCTTTTGATGAATTGTGTAGTTTTGCTTACTTTGAGTATCCAAACAGAATTCTTCCTCTTTTCTATTTCTCACTTCTCTTCCATTGCCTCCCTATGTCCTGCCTCTTCAATCAGCCTCACCCTTTCCCAACTTTCTTCATTCAGGGACATTAATATTAGCACCAATTCTCCTTGCTTCATTTTTACAGCTCTTCTCAACTCGTGTCTCTACTGTGTCTTTTTCAGCAGGTCCTGTCTGCTTTTCCTTTCAAATGTCCCTCAGATTTATCTTTTTCATTTCTACTGACTCCCAACGAATTCATGCTCTCATCACCTCACACTTGTGGGAAAGTCCTCCAGCTTGTCTCTTCACCATCAAAGTCTCACAATTCATGCTCTCTGACTTATTATCTACAGGACAGTTTTCCAAAAACGATACTCTCGTTGTCTTACTGGGCAAATTAGTGCTATTGGTAAATCCTCCATTGCCTGAAACTATCATTTCTAAACCTTACTCCCCATAATTAGGCCCAATCCAATTTTTTGCCTCCAAATACTTTTTCACTGTCCCTTGAATATAATGATATTTCTCACAATTTCATCTTTGCTAATCTTTTATTTAAATTGCTTGGAACCAGAAGTGATTTGGATTTTAAACTTTTCCAGATGTTATAATATGTGCAGCATACATACCAGTGGAGCATCCCTAATCTGAAAATACAAAATGTGAAATGCTGCAATGAGCATTTCCTTCGAGCATCATGTTGGTGCTCAAAAACGTTTGAATTTTGGAGCATTTTGAATTTCAGATTAGGGATGTTCTATGGTAGTGATGGTGGTGGAAGCGATCTTTAGAATTTATTATCAGCCAAGCTTTGTACTAAGTATGTTATATACATTATTCCAAGTAATTCCCACAGCATCTTTGTGAAGAGTGTCCCATGATTTTACAGATGAGTAAACTGAGGCATATAGCAATTTGCCTAAGGTCACATAGCTCTTAAGGAGTACAGATTGGATGTGAATCCACACATCTGATTTCACAGTCCATGCTCTTAAGTACTTTCTAATACTGTTCACCTAGCCAAAAATTATACCCTTACCCAGACTGCCATCATCATTAAATAGAGAATGTTAATACAAGTCTCCTTGAAAACTTCGAATACTCATTTAGAATCACTCCTCTGAATGTCCACTGAATTCAGCATAATATTCCATGTAATACTCAATATAATATCAAACTAGAATATATTGATTTAGAATTATTTCATATGTATTCATCTCATCTCCCTAATTAAACTGTAATCTTCCACACTAGAATGGCATCTTCTCAAACTGTAACTTATGAGTCATGGAATTAGTTCATGGCCTGCAACCAACATTTGAAAAAAAATAAAATAGGCTTGAAAAAAAAAAGCATGTATCACTTTGTAGAATGTTTATTTCAATTATGTGAGGATGTGCATGTACACTTACACTAGGTCATAATGCAAAAATGTATTTAAGGTGATAGTTCAAGGTCAAAAAATTAGAAAGCCATTGTTCTAGAGGGCAGACATGATTCGTTAGTCTTTTATTCTTATGGGGCCTATCACAATCCCACACACACAGTAAGTACTCAATAACAACTTGGCTGACTGAATAAAATTACCTTGTACCATTTCTATTATAACCATATTATTATGATTAAAAATTCAGTGTTGAACCATTTATACATATCATAATATCTATACATGCATAATCTTTACTGTGATCATGTTTAGCCCTATATTGTCAAGTGATTTTTTAAAATTGAGGCTTCTCTGTTTATAAGATAATGTGCTTAAATCCCCAAGCTATACTTAAGACTTTAGAGAGGTTAGTTTTGATTAGTAGTTCCATAAATTGAGAGTTAAGAAGCTATGGTATCTTATGCAAATGAAAGCTTACTCCTCCCCATAATACTAAAGGGGACATTTTAATGATAACTTGGCTAAGCATGGTTCCTTCTTTTTTATAAGGCAACTACATATCATTACTTTTAATATTTATTTCTGCAAAGAATCACTTTACTAAAATTTGTATTACATTTACAAAGAGGCTTTTAAAAATTAAAAAATCATTTTTAGCTAAATAGTATCAAGCAACTTGATTGTATTGCATTTATTAACCTCACCATTTGAGCAGTCTGGGCCAGTCCAATTAGGGTCACATGTGCAGGAGCCACTTTCTTGAAGGTATGTTCCGTGACCAGAGCACTGGTCTGGACACATGGTCTTCAGTATTTCACAATTGCTACCTCCCCATCCTGGACTGCAGTGACATTCCCCATGGATACACACACCATGATTAGAACACCCAGGGTCTAGACAGTCAGCTGGTGTAAAGAAAAGAACGATTTTATTAAATCCAGAAGATATCATAGTGCATGCAGAAAAAAGAATTAAATCCTAATCTAATTTATATGAACACTTTGGATAATCAAATATTTATCTACCATTTTCAAGAACCTGTTTCTGAAAATGCAAAGAATTACAATACAATAAAGCATTAAGAACCAGGCTAGTGCCATTTAGGTAATTGAGACTCTTGCAAGGATTTGTAATTTTCCTGAATTACACACATAGACTCTTGAGGTTTCAGACTATTGCTCTCTGTTCTGCCTAATCACAGAGTAATAAGTATTGCCTTCTCTATAACAAAATCTGTGACCACTGAGTACTGACAGCTGTATGGGATCCTCACACTGTTTGAGAAATAAATGAGTTGCATACTCTCTTTCTTAATTCACTTTAATGTGCTTTAGATGACGAGATTTAATTTAGCAATTTGACTCAATAAAACTTTACACTTGTAGGGTCAATGGCCTGAAAATTTAATTCCAGAGACTTAATTGCATTACTTTGTGTGTGCAGATCAATAAAATCAATTTGATTGAAGAACGGAAATGGTGCTTTTTTGCTTTCTGAAAAAACAATTCACCTGCACTTTACAATATGGTATCTTGACTCTCATCATTACACGTACACAGTCATGGAACAAATCCATGATGTCACACTTCTTTTCAGTAGCATATTTTGTGTACTATTCTGTCTTTCTAGAGAAGTCAAAATGCTAGATTTAGAAGCTGGCATCAACGTAAAAAACTATAAAAAGAAAAATAAAATCCAACAGTCTGCTGTCAGTTTCAAGGTACGAGGTTTGCTTGCTTTCTCAGAGTGAAGAAAAGGAATGATTCACACGGCTGAAAAAGAGCAAAGAGGCCCTTTGGTGTGTGTTCTTTTTATTAGTTAAAATGTTAATAAGACAATGCATTCATAAATATGGATTTTTCAAAATTGCTTTCAAAAGGAAGCCTATAAAAGAGATTTGCCAAACTAAAGATTACAGATATAATCTGTTTCTTTATGAAGACAACAACAGACTTCCGCAAATATTGACATGTTTACCTTCTTCACAATTTTCTCCTTTGTATCCCGAGTTGCAGGCACAAGAGCCCATGATACAAATCCCACGACCCCCACACTGCGGGTCAATACACTGGGTAGCCGGCACATCACACTCCGTACCCTTCCAGCCGCTGAAACACAGGCAGCGGCCCTTGGAGTACTGCCCGTTGCCACTACATAACACTGGACAGGCCGCTGTGAAACAAGACACGACAGAAGAATTACAGCCACATTTTCCACCGAGCTTCCGAGAGAAAAGACACATTGCTGGAACAAGCAATTTGCCGGTTTTCCCCCTTCTTTCCTGTCTCGGTAGTTCTTGGAATTACTTGTGTTTCTACAGCTTATTTATATCGGCTTAAGAAAAGAATCTAACTTGCATACCTCTTGAACAATCCGGACCCAGAAATCCTGGAAAACAATGGCAAGTTCCAGAAACGCACTCTCCATTTCCATGGCAATTCCGGGGACATTCCACCACAGACTCTGAAGAAAAGGGAAAGAAGGAACACTTGTTGTATAGCCTGCCTCTTGCAAAAGATAAACGGTGTCACTTTGATCTTCATTTATGCTAGATAATTTGAGGAGTAAAGCAAAGCACTGTCACTTCAAATGAAGATTTTCAAAGTGTTTCATGATGTATTCTCCTCTCCCAAGGTAATTCCAGATAATATTTTCTCCCAGTGCTTCATAGTCTGTCACATATTCACAAATAAACGGTTCAAAAACAATTCTCATATTCTACCTGGGCTTTAACACCCTAGGAATTACCCCAAATTGGTACAGATGATTTAGTTTCTATTAAACACGGCGTTTAGGCTGTAGCCTGGAAAAGGGGGCTTTGAAGACTATTCTTACCTATAACAATGGTATTAAAAGACACCTGCTCTGCATTTTTCCCGTCATTATAAAAAGCCAGATGCCAGATTCCGGAATCCAAGTACTGGATAAAGCCAGCCTCGTGAAGGCTGACGGATCTCGCCTGCCGCCCGGCTCTCTCCGTCTCAAGCAGGCTCCGCTGCTCTCTGGCAATCAGCCTGCTGCCATCCAGGAGCTCCACGAAGTCATACTGCGGGGTGGATGACGAAAAATAGTCAGAAATATAAAGGCTGGCTGCTTCTCTTTCTTTTTGCTCTTCAAGCTGTCTTCCTTTGCTCTAACAAATACAATGTTAGAGAGAAGTTCCTGACTGACAGGTCCAAATGGTAGAAGTCTCCTATGCACACCATTTACAAGGAGGATGCAAACTACCTGCCACATAGGGCCGGATCCAATCATCAGGGACCATTTTTTTCCCCTTATTGGGCAATATGGTTTCCAGATTTATTTAATTCTACTGACTGATCAAAGTTTAATGAGTTTAGGCAGTCTGGGGATACAAACATAAAATCTACATGAACTGACATTTCCAATCCAGCAGGCTTATTTTTAATGCATTAATTTCATAATTGATATATAACAGTCGTACATATTTTGACTGCCCTCCCAGCCTCTGGTATCCATCATTCTACTCTTTCTTTGTTTTAAATTTTATTTTATTATACTTTAAGTTCTGGGGTACATGTGCAGAATGTGCTGGTTTGTTACATAGGTATGCACATGCCATGGTGGTTGGCTGCACCCATGAACCCGTCATCTACATTAGGTATTTCTCCTAATGCTATCCCTCCCCTAGCCCCTGACCCCGAGAGGCCTTGGTGTGTGATGTTCCCCTCCCTGTGTCCATGTGTTCTCAGCATTCCACTCCCACTCATGAGTGAGAACATGAAGTGTTTGGTTTTCTGTTCTGGTGTTAGTTTGCTGAGAACCATCATTCTCCTCTTTCTACTCATTCACTTTTTTAGCTCCCATGTATAAGCCAGAATATGTGGTATTTGACTTTCTATGCCTGGCTTATTTCACTTCACACAATGACCTCCAGTTCCATCCACGTTGCCAGCAACCTTGTTTTAGTTAGACCACAAGATAACCCTTTATGGTCTTCTCTGACTTCACATTCACGTAGCAACAACTACTGTTGAATCCTTACTCTGCGCCGGTTCCTCACAGGAACCCTTGTAGGAAGGCTTTACCATTTGCACTTTACAGATGAAGGAATCTGAATCTCGAGGAGCTGTAGCAGGCTCTCAGCCATCTGGTAATGGTGGGGTTGGGGTGTGAACTCAAGAGCACTTCGCTCCAAGTGGGGTCATCCCTCCCACCCTACTCCACCTCTCCTGTGACCCTGATGTGACCATCTCAAGCACGATGGAGAATGCCACGGGCTTTACTTAGTCACTGTTAGATTAAAGACATGTAACAAGATGCCTTTACATCTTTGATCTAAACAGTTGATGGAGGGGTTCTGAAGCGATGGCAATAATAGGAAATGTGCCTGACTATTCTTATGAATGGGTCATCATTAAACCTAAGTTTTGTTTTAGTAAAATTAGACATGAACATTGGTGGCTGGAGAGTTTAAACAAGAATTAAAAATATAAAATGTGACTGTTATACAGTGGAGTAAAATTTTGTAAGTAGAAATAATACAGGGAATTTGAAAGATGCTGAAAAGACCTTCCAAAGTAGTTTCAAGAAATTTTTTAGATAATAATTGTTAAAAGTAGAGTGATTCAGTGTCTACAGACTGTTACCTAGTTTCATTCTATTCCTGAGGTGTGTTTATGGTGAAACATATGCCACAGTACAATATATAAATAATAATTATAATACTGCATATATAAATCATAAATATTCTACTTTCTGATAGATTTCTTAAATGGAATTTCATCAGAGGCCTATTTAAGAAAAAGATTATTATATGAATCTCTTAATTCAATCAAGGTGGAATAAAATCAGTTGTTGGAAATACTGAGAATCACAGTTAAATAGATTGCCATTTTACTGATCATAGACCTCTGCTGTTAACATTGGAGAGAATTTAGAATTTAATTCAGCTTCTGCCTTATTAAAATTATTATTTATAAGTAAAATCTTTTTTTGTTCTTTTGGGTAGTTTCATTAGAATAGAATTCAGCTGTGAGAAATATATAAAAATAGTATAACGTGATCAGCAGTCAACGACGTTTATTTTCATTTATACCTTATAAGGATGAAAAGAATGACTGATGTGGATACCTGCCCTACAAAAATTTGACTGGAATTCTATTCTAGAATTATTAGAGGAAAACTAATTCAGCAGTTTTGAAAGGTGATTCTGTCTCAAATAAGCCATTCATTTCCTCATCAGGTTTAAATATTTACACATTTGCATGGCAAAGAGACACGAAAAAATTTCTTTTTATGACCCAAGCATATAAACATTTTTCTTCCCTAACATTAAACACAGTAACTGAAACAGTTGAAGGGAGAAATTCTGAGTTTTAGCTGGTCTTTGAAGGTAAAAGCACAACCATCACCTTTATCATGGAAGTAACCATTTGCATCACACTGTGAACAATAAAATAAGGCCAGGGTAGTGAACATGATGGTGGGGAGGAGGAGCTGACAGGTTTTGAGTATCTACCCAGTTCTAGGCTCTTCTGCAGAAGTGTTTCACACATGATTTCAGAAGTGATTCAAATACCTACAGAAACATTCCCTACGTTAACACTAAAACCATCTGTGCCAAAAGTTACCAAATTACAAGGAACGAAAATACTTAACAATTTTCGTTCTTAGGGCATAAACTAGTCACTTAAGGGCAAATGTGAGTTTTGCTCTGTAATACTTCTAAGATGGAGACACAGATATATTTTTGGGGAGAAGAGGAGTCTTAGGACCTTATGCTCTTTTTAGGAAGAAATTCTTGGGGCTAACTCTTCAATTGCACTACTCTGGGGGAGCCATCATGAGACAAAGCTTATACTTGATAAAGGTTTCATATAAAGTGAGATAATTTTACTGTGAAAGCTCTGTTTAAAGGTCATTTTCTTATGATTTAATATTAACAAATATACACGCTTTAACAATCCTCGTCTAAAGTTGGTTTCAACTACAATGTATTAACAAGGTCTTTTGGAAAATCAATAGAAGAAAAGTTTGCCCGTCTTTGTTGTATTTATGCTGGTTACCTAATAGACCATTTAAAAACAAATAGATTTTGTTTCAGGTATCTTCGTGGTTCACTTCTGAACAGTTAGATTAGAGGTTTAATTCAATTCTGTTACTAAAACGATGAGTTCCTGGAATCTATGAATACTTAACTGTGTCCTGACATCAACTCTTTGGTAGTGGCACAGTCTTGCTGTAATTGGAATATAGAGAATAAAGAGATTTTACACATCATCTGATCCAACTCTTTCATTTTACCAATGGACACTAAGGCTCAGAGAAGGGATGCTGCAAGGTCACCAAGTGAAAAGGTGGTAAAGGCTATGCTTAGAACCCAGGCTTCCAACTCTCATTCGACAAGAGCCTTCATGTGACTGCACTCAAATGCTACAGTACACTTAACCATAAGGCTCTGCATGTGACTGCACTCAAATGCGACAGTACACTTAACCATAAGGCTCTGCATGTGACTGCACTCAAATGCTACAGCACACTTAACCATAAGGCTCTGCATCGCCTCCTTAGGCCACTAACTGACCAAGAGAATGAACTGGCATCAGGGAGAAGAGAGCCCACTGATTCGTTGGCAACAATCAAACGGGCAGTTTTAAAAAGGTCACAAAGACTGTGACAGCTCAAGCAACCATTCTGAATGGCTGGCCAATTTTAATTATTTCAGGTTGATTTATTTAATGTTCCCCAGAAACAGAGAAACATTCAATTTGGGCTGCTTTATAGAATATTTCATGTTTAAACACTGAACTCAGAAACAGTTGTTTGCTCTGCTGATACTGAATAAACCACAGGAAGAAACTATAATAACCATGATGCTTAAGAAAATGCATAACCTACTTAAACACATATATTGTGGTAGAAAAGAAAAGTGGGTATCACATGTATTATGTTTAAATACTAGAAAGATTATGAGAAAACCTGAAACTGCACCTTTTATTTCTCTAATCTTAAATGTTATATACAACTTGCAGAGTCAACTAAATCTTTAAATAAACCTTTCAAGTACACAAAACAATAGGCAATTCTTATCTGAAATTATTTTCTGGAATTTATAAGTTACATGTTCACTATTATGCTCGGCTTAGAGGTACATTTTTTGAATTATAGACAAATAATCACATACGTGGTTTCAATGGGAAAATTTTTTCATATTTCACTGGACAATTGCTATAAATCCAATCTGTCTACTATAATTGAAGTTACAGAGGACTTCCATTTAAGAAAACTTTTTTTTTCTTTTTTTTTTCCCTAGACAGAGTTTTGCTCTTGTTGTCCAGGCTGGAGTGCAATGTCACGATCTCTTGCTCACTGCAACCTCCGCCTCCAGGGTTCAAGCGATTCTTCTGCCTCAGCCTCCTGAGTAGCCGGGATTACAGCTGTGCATCACTACGTTCGGCTAGTTTTGTATTTTTAGTAGAGACGGGGTTTCACCATGTTGGTCAGGCCGGTCTTGAACTCCTGACCTTAAGAGCTCCACCCACCTCGGCCTCCCAGTGCTGGGACTACAGGTGTGACCCACTGTGCCTGACCTTAAGAAAACCTGGTTATTGTATCCTAGTCAGTGTCACCTATAAGATGAACTGGAGTCAAATGTAAAATTTAAAATGGTCCAGCCTGGCTGGGCGCGGTGGCTCATGCCTGTAATCCTAACACTTTGGGAGGCCAAGGAGGGCAGATCACCTGAGGCTGGGAGTTTGGCACCAGCCTGACCAACATGGAAAAACCCCATCTCTACTAAAAATACAAAATTAGCTGGGCGTTGTGGCGCATCCCAGCTACTCGAAAGGCTGAGGCTGCAGCATCACTTGAACCTGGGAGGCGGAGGTTGCAGTGAGCCGAGATCATGCCATTGCACTCCAGCCTGGGCAACAAAAGCAAAACTCCATCTCAAACAATAAAAAATAGAATAGAATAGAATAGAATGGAATGGAATGGAATGGAATAGAATAGAATAAAATAAATTGGTCCAGATGCGGTGGCTCCTGCCTGTAATCCCAGTCCTTTGGGACGCTGAGGTGGGCGGATTGCTTCAGCCCAGGAGTTCAAGACCAGTCTGGGCAATGTGGTGAAACCACATCTCTACAAAAAATACAAAAATTAGCCGGGTGCAGTGACACGCATCTGTAGTCCCAGCCACCCAGGAGGCTGAGGTGGAAGGATCACCTGAGCCAAGGAGGTTGAGGCTGCAGTGAGGTGAGACTGTACCATTGCACGCCAGTCTGGAAGACAGAGTGAGACCCTGTCTCAAACAAAAAACAAAACAAACAAAAACCAGAACCCCAACAAACAAAAATACAAAATTTAAAATTGGGCGTTAGTACATTATAAGAAGTATACAATGCATAAGAATTGAATTTACTTTAATAATATATTAAAAATATTAAATAGGAAAAATGAATACACTAAAGCCTGATATTCAGAAATTTCACCACCATAAAAATTCACATATGTATATGAAGTAAATCCACAATTATATTAGAAAAAGCATGTTGAAATCTTCTTACTCATCTTTCTTTAAAGATATAATTTCTTTATTAATATGTGATAACTTTTCTTCATAATTTATGTTCCTAGGTTATAGAAGAAGTATTTCTCGCAAAATTATATGATATAAAGCATACATGAAAACTTCCCAGTCCTTATCTTATAAATCACACTAAATCAGCATGAAATCCTCTGGGCAAATAAATTGATGATCGAATATAACTTTAGGCTCATCCAACTGTCAATTTTAATTAATCAACTATTACATGTTTGATATTCTACTTACTAACAAAATAGTTGATCTTGGGGAAAGTCTCAGTTCCAATTTTATGGTAGGTAATTCAAAAAACTTCTCTTAGACATGACGGAACCTATATTAAGTGACAATTTCCAATTTACATACTATGACCCAGTACTGTATTAGATTATGAAAAAGGCTGTGGAATTGACAGTAGTTCTCCATCTGTGATTGCTGTTGTGAGGGGATTTTTATGCAAGGGAAATGACTTTGAAGTTCTTTGATATTAAGGATATCTGAATTGTTTTGCGTACCACATGAATATCATCATACTCGGTTATCTCTGAAAGCTCTCTTGCCTCTTTATCTCAGCGTTCATCATTTTAGATGAGGAACAGTGCTTGAGTTGATAAAGCTCATGTCATCATATTTACGTTGATGTTCCCATAATTTCTCTACTAAGAGTAAATCTGGCATAAACTAAAAAAATACATTTTGAACAGAATGAATACGTGTTTGAGATGAATATGTTATGCATCTATTACGTGAAAGGAATAAGATCATCTGAAATTATCATAGAATCTTTGTAAAACACTTGGAAAATCCATGGTGTTTTACTGGGTGCTCAGATGATGCTCAATATTCATTAAGTTACTCGCAAAATTCAGTACATTTTAAACAGTCAAATCAGGAAGAAAATATTGTTCTTCCCACTACTGATTCCAAAACCTCAGAACAAGTAACCTACATTCAAAATTCTTTCTACTGTAGGAAGTCAGTTCCAAAGTGGCCGAACAGTTAACCGAACAGCTGAGCTTAAGAAAGACAATAAGTTCAAAAAATGCAAGCAGCAGTTTTCATTTTATTGATGAGAAAGCCTAGCCTTACCTGAGTATGGGAAGGCGGTAAGCCTTTTCGGCCATAGACTCCTATCAATGCATCCTTCTGAAGAGAGATATTGAATTTAAGAAACTGTGGCTGATCAATGAAGAGCTGTGATCTCCAGAAGATCCCGGGAGGAACCTCTTGAATTGCTCTTCGGCCAATATCGAGTTCTCCGGAATCTATGGTATTATTTTCTTGCGTAAATCCACCTAATTTTCCTGAATGTAAGAGATCCAGTGATGAAGAACAAAACATTTTTTAAAAAACAGAACACAAAAGGTTTTTAAACTTTTTGAAAAAGTTATTTTTACTAAATGCTCAAGCCATTTCGTCTTCTGATAGAGTACTCTCATAAAATTTGCACTTTAAAAGCTTCCGTTGCTAGATATTGGTGTTTTACTAATTCTGATCTAGCTCCTAAGATAGTGAAGTTAAAATCCCTTTGACTTCCCCCAAGGTATGGCTATTACTAAAGCTGTTTTCACACCTACAGTCTTTCTGTTCACTTGAAACGTAATTATCTTACAAATTATGTGTCTTGTTATTTCTTGGGAGAGATTAGGTCTGGTACTTATCAGTCATACTAAACATATTAAAACACTGCAAAGTGTAAATTAAGGCAGAATGGATTATGGAGATTTCTAAATCAATCCTTAAGCAAACAATAAAACCAATCAATGGCTCGGATTCATGTAGTTCTATCTAAATGACATACTAGGATGAATGAAAAACACCAGATGCTGGCAGAGAGGTAGGGAAGGGGTACTTGGGGCATTGTGAGGGGAAAGAAAGGAGGGGTCAGCTTAAGTGCTCACATAGCTTTTGGTGAAGGCTGTTCCTCTCTCTTTTGACCCTCATTTCAAACTCACTTGTAGTCTCAGTGGACATGCTGTGTTACTTCTGACCACACTGATCTTTGATCCATAGGAACAAAACCTCTTTGCTCCCTGGATCCCTGCCACCTGGTAAGAGAGCATCTCTTCCTGCATGGCCTCCTTCTAGAAAACAGATCCAAGACTCCTCTTTTTGGTATGATGTTCCCCTTTTCCCTCTTTGCCAAGGTTCTTTCTCAGTTGCTCTGATGGGGGTCATGGTAGAATGTCTGCAATTTTCCATAAGCGGAAATATAACCACACTGTCTTTTATGCAGACGGGTCCAGGAGGCTGAGGAACAGAATGAAACTGGGCAAATTATCTTCTATCAATTCAGCCCTTTTACAGTGATAACAACAGGAGGGTGAGGGGGGAGGATCACTTGAGCTCAGGAGTTAAAGTCCAGCCTGGGCAACATAGTGAGACTCCCGTCTCTTAAAAAAAAAAGTGATAACAAAGTTGACTTACTACCAACTTTGTCTTTTTTTTTTTTAAACATTAAACTGTTAATTCAAAACGCAGAGGATGTAATTTTAAGTCTGAGAGCTGTAAGCTATCTTATCTTAGTGATAAGGGAGAGTCTTCTGACTCTCTGTGAAGAATTATTACTTTAACACTGAGTTCATTTTTACCAAGTGTCTGCTAGCGGCAGCGCTGTGGGTGACTTAAAAAAAGAAACATAAACCAAAGAGTAGAATCTTAGAGATTATCTGATCTGACTTACAAAGCTTCTGCCATCAAGTAGTAATTACCTGGTTGGGGAGACAACACCCACAAACTGATAAATTAAGTGAGACCCTAAAGCAGTATGACCCTGAGTAGGGGTCAGAGAAAGGCACGATCACTGCAGGCTGGAGGCTGAGAGATTTCACAGGAGTTAAGTTTGGCAGTAAACGTTGAGGAACAGGTAGGATAAGGTTTCTGAGTTGGGATAAACATCGCCATCACAAGCATGCAAGTGGAACTTGAGAGGTGTTAGGTTGGTGCTCAGCAGAGAAATCCATCTGGCCAGAAAATAAGATAAAGAAAACTCGTTTTGGAGTCAGACAAATCTGGGTTTGAAGCCTGGCTTTGCCAACAATTAGCTGTGTGGCCTGAAGAAAGATACTAAACGTCATCTAGAAAATGGGGAGAGTAATGTAATCATTGCACTGTTATAAGGATTCCATGAGGTTTGGGGCATCAAACACAAGCTGCAGTGTCTGGCTCTCAGGAGGTTTGAATGGGTTTGTCATGGGAGGGATGTGAGATAAGGTTGGGAAGGGAAATGACATCTGTTTGTGGAGGGCCTTGAATACCAGGTTAAAGAATATGGTCTTTATACTTTATGCTAGTGATTTTTTTGTATTTTCACTCTATCAAGAGTGTTATTACACTCTTCTCCCTGAAGACGTATATATTTACTAGTATTCTGTTTTACTAGTATGCATGTCATTTATGGTATGCTTTTAAAATAGATACTTGAAGACTGATTATGGGTAAATTGCATTTCGAAGCCTCAAACACACTTATTCTTGTGTGGTGGTGGGGTGTGTGTGTATAATCAAGAGAAACAGAACTGAAGATTACTAAGGAACATGACCTGCAATCACAGACGCAGTTTATGGCCGATAGGATCTGAAGCAATTCACAAAAAATTCACACTTAGAGATAAATGTGAGGTTTGAGGGAGTACATCACTAGCAAATGTTACAATTGCTTTCCACCTGGACTACTGCATCCTACATGACACACGTACCATCAGTGGTGAAGGACCGCTAGAGCTAAATGGAGACCCATTAAAGGTTCTGAGCAGGCTAAAGGTGAAATGAAATCACTGTTTCAAGAGCATTACTGTGCAGTAACTGTGGGAAGCCTGGAAATGAACAGATAAGTGAGGACACAGTTGCAATAACCCAGGTATGAGGCAGAAGAGGGTTGTACAAGAAAACTCAGTAAAAAGGCATTATTTATAATCTCACTTCCTCTCTTCTTTCTCAGTGTTGACAATCATGGTAGCTATCAGGTCTATTTTTCTTAAACCAATTCAGTAATACAAAATGATCTAAGGAATAAAATTTCCAAATTGAGTTATAGTAATCACTATAATTTTTCCACACATCAACTCTTGGATTATAAACTGTAGATCATTCATAGGATTCAAAGTATTTATTTTACAATAGTAATACTTGTTTATTTCAGCAAAATTAGAACATATAGTTAAATAAAAAGAGAAAAAGTATATATAATGCTACTACCCAGAAATTATTTTGCTTTCTATCTAAACAGACATCTATCTTGCTTTACTCAGAAATTTTTAATTATCTGAGACCAATTTCTACTTTTCATTTAGGAAGCTTCTGCAAAGGAACCTATATTTGTCATCAAGGAACTTTTATTGAGAAGGTTCAGGGGAGAAAGAAATGGAACTAATCTTTACTGAGAACCTACAATATGACCGGTAGTTTCACCTATGAGGTTGTTACCATTTTGAGATGAGGAAACTAAGGCTCAGAGAAGTAAATGATGTGGCCAAAGCGACTGATGGAGTCAAGACTGAAATCAAGGTCTGCAGAATTCCAAAACTATTCATTGTATATAATCCTCAATAAAATCTTTGCTTTTTATTAAAACAAAAATATTATTTTAAATTACTAAGTTTTAAATTTATTTGTCTAGTTCATATAAAATCAGATATATTAAGTCACTGAAACACCCTAGAGAATACAATTTCAGGATATAAAGTTTATACTTATTTTTATAAATCTTATGCTGATAAAATTTATAAAACTGCCATGGATACTATAACATAATATTCTTTATGTTATAATTCATAAGTTCCTCATAAGCTTTTGTCTTTTGGTTGACTTCTACATGAAACAAATTTTAACATACTGAGTAGAGTAGCTATTCTCTTCCCCTCTAAGATGTTAGTATACATACCATATTTTAATATGAATATAGTTTATATTTAGACTCATTCATGAAGTATATACATTTCTAAGGCTATTATACTTGATTTTTCATTAATAAGTTCGATCTACTATCTGAAGCGTATGTAATGTAATCTACTCTCTTGGGTTGACCCTATTGCTGCTATTAATGGTTTTCTGAGTTTTAATAGCATACCTGTGCTTTGAAACTGGGAAGCATAAATTCATAAACTGGTGCTAATTTCAGCATTTTTTTCCAAAACATTATGTTTACCCAAGAGCATTAGCTGTGGTAATGGTAACCAAGTTCTGATTTCTAGGGTTTCAGGTTTCACTATGTCAAAGCCGTTTAATAAGCCAGGTATTCTTGCCTTGTTGCTTTCTCCACAAATTAATTTTGAGGGGTTAAAATCTTTCTCACAGAAATGATATGTGAATACATTGTTGTGTCGGGAAGCGTATCTATTTATCCTATTAGTCCCATACATAGCTAATTTAACAGGTGGCTCTTTTCCAGAAAAAGAGGGTTCTTCGTTTGTAAAACAAAAGAACCAAGACTGCTAGAGTGTGCTTGAATGGGATAGCAGTTGTGATGATTTTTTCCTCCCATAACGAAAAAAACCCTAATTAATCATAACGCCACAGAATCTTCGAGTTCGAGTATCCGTGAGGTCATCTAGTCCAGGGGTCTTTAAACAAGGGTAGCCATATCCCTAGGAAACATTAAAACTTTTCAATAAGGAATGGGGTCGGAAATTAATTTCTATTAATAGAAGCTCAATAACATCCACGTGTTGACTTTCTTTACAAAGGAAAGGTATGGCTCTTACACACCCAAAATACTACCATGACTCATTGTCCTGCAGCATAAAACTTCCAGTATGCCAGAAAAAGGCAAAATTAAAAGAACTTTTGTTGGTGAAGCTTCTTTTATTTAAGACACCATAAACCCAAGGTAGAGCTTCAGCGACTTTCTCTGCTTAAAATAGCTCCATTAAGGGCAAAATGTGGGGTTAAAAATGGGGTATTTCGGACTACTGGCATGCTTTGAAGTCAAATGTATCAAGAAAGAGAGATTATCTTTTTAATGAACTTATCACCCACCCCAACCACTGTCAAAGGATGCTTTTCAACTGCAGAAGACTTTCACGACTACCAAGAACACAGCAATAAGGTAAGAAACATGAAATGTAATGATACTTTATTTATTCCTGCTGTCAAGGTAAGGACAAGGATTTGTGCTTTATCTTGCTACCTATCTACCTAGGGCAGGGATTCAGAACTGAGAGGTTCTAACAAAATGCAGATTAATTTATTTGAACTGAAAAAATAAGTCAGACTTTTTCTGACAAAAGGTAAATTTGGGCCAGGCATGGTGGTTCACGCCTGTAACCCCAGCACTTTGGGAGACTGAGGCAGGTGGATCCCGAGGT